CCTAAACCCTAAACCGTGTGGTTAGCCCTGGCCCCAGCATGACAAGCATTTCTCCAGGCGGCAAACAAACCCCAAGTCGCGGACCAAAAGTTCGGAGTCCTCAACCCTAAGCCTTCAACACCCTGCCGTCTAGACCCCAAAGCCCCAAAACCCTGTTTAGGCTTTAGGGTTTGGTTTCCTCTTAGCGTCTCTGCCAATTTCTGAAGATAGGGTTATCCTGTATCGGCTGGGCGCCCGAACCTGAGTAAGCTCACTCTACCTCTGAAACCCTTGCCCCGAATCCCTTGCCCCTAGCCCCTAAGCCCCAAGCCCCAAATTCGAAACAGCAACGACCAGCCAGGACCATGGGTTCCAAAAAGATGGCAATGACTCTGAGCTTCGTTAGGGGCGGTTGGTCGTAGGCTCCGCAGTTGGCTTGTGTTTAGTGTTCAAAAGTTAGCCTCAGGGTTGTAGGACTGGTGTTGGAGGGATTGGAGGGTTTAGCCTTGGCTGTTCCTTGTCAAAGTTTGGATGAGCTTTGAAGATGTCATTCGCTCTTCAAACACGGTATCTAGTGTGTTACAAAAAGTTATGAAGAGTTTCAGCAGAGCATGAAGATATTTGCTGCATGTGACCTGATTTAGGTCTGGTAGGGCGTTCGACATCCTCGAGATTCTGCTGTTGAGGGCTGGGTATGCGAGGTATACCAGGTCTTATGGGGAGCACGCGAGAATCAAGTGTTTGAAGGAATGGTCTTTGTTTCACAGGCACATGGATATGTTCTTCTCCGTTGTCATAGGTGACTTCATGCAGATTGCATGGCAGTTGCGAACTGATCGCGTAAGGCGTCTACCGGGTGCATGTATGGGGGCTACATGCTTATTACACCAAACCCTACACATTTAACCCTAAACCCTAAACCCTAATGGCAAGAGGTGTCAGGTTTGGATCTTTTGGATTTGGAGGTTCAGAATTGCCAGAGCTGCTAGAACTGGGAATGCAGGACGTAGCTTTTCCCAGTTAATGTTGGCCCTTAAAACTGTTTTCCTTCAAAGAATCCATGCTTGAAGTAGCGTATCTCCCGCGGATTTTGGTTTTGGCATGCACTGCTTTCAAGTAGCATAGTCAGATCACAACATTGCGAGAAGCGTTGCGGTTCAAAAGCACGTGCCTACAAGAAAGCATTTCTGAAGCATGGTTAAGACTTGCTTCAATCCCCCAATAGTCCGATTATGAGGGCAAGCTGTCGAAGCCTAAAAGCCCAGACCCGCCAGGGCCTTGTCCCATAGCAGATTTCCACAGCCTCAAGCCTCCCGCGTCTGCAGCCAGAACCCCAAGCCGTAAAACCCAATCCCTGAATTGTAAAAAATATGCTCCGCACCCTGCAACCTAAGCCCTTCACCCCTAAACCTTAACCCTAAACCCAAACCCTGGTTCAGGATCAGCCGGAAGCATGGAAGGCAGCGCGCTTGCAACGTGGGCCCCGATGATGCCGTGGCGTGTCGCAAAGATGTGAGTTGGAAGGTTGGGTTGAGTGTTGAGAGTCGGGGCCCATGGTTAACTCCTTAAAGGGGGATATATAGGGGATTATACAGGGGACTACTATAGGGGTTATTAAGGGGGATACTAGGAGTTTAGACTATGGCTCACATGAGGGTTTAGGGTTGAACTCTAGGTCCAGGATTTAGGGTCTAAGGCCCCGAATTCTGAACGCTTAACCTTACATTTTAATTCGTACTCCCTCAACCTGAACCTCTAAACCCTAAACCCTTGCCCGTAAACCTTAGACCTAAACTCGAAACCTTCAACCAAAGAGGCCTCGAGGCACGGAACCTCTCGAAGCTGTTCTGGTGGCCTACCGGAGATACATGAGCTATAGTCTGAACTCCTCCTTCAAGGGGGTTATAAAGAGGGTTATTTAGGGAAGCATGATAAGGGGTATTAAGCGGTGACCACTGGAAGTTTAGCCTATAGCTCACATCAGTATACGCTGGGGTTAGGCTTACAAGAGCTTAAGGTTGTGTTTCTCTGAATGTTTGTTTTTGGCTGTTCCCCTATGCGGTCAATAGAAGCTGTAGTTGTACTTATTTGTGACTGTTAGTGGGGTGGGGAGAAAGCCCGGCAAACTTTGAGGGCTCAAAGCATTAGAATAGGGATTTCGGGTAGATGACATGTCAACTATACGTCACCATGTACCTAAACAATGATGTGAGTATGTTTCCTTACAACCCTTATAGAATCCCTAACAAGCGATTCCGGCCCTACTTCAAGGGTCAGGTGGACTTAGTAAGTAGGTAAGAAGGAGGATAACTAGGTTTATTGTTATATGGGAGGTAAGGGTTATTAACGTCCTTACTAAGTCCTCCTGGCGCTCCAACTAAACCCTACTCTTGCCCCAGGTCCTAAACTATGATGCCCCTAAACCCTCAACCCTAGACCCTTGAACCCTGAACGTTAGGCATAGACTTGGAGTCCAAACCCCCAGGGAACCGAAGCCCCAGGTAGCAGAGCACCCGTTTTTGCCAATTAAGCTGCTTGGGGCATCAGGGTGACTTAGTAATAATGGAAAGAAAATGGAGACTACTATATGATTTCGGGTTTAGGGTTTAGACTTGGAGGATCTTGTGGGACTTAGTAAGTAGGTTATTACTGCGGATAACTGGGCTTATTTTTTTTATGGCTTTTCTGGCGTCATTAGCATACTTACATACGCAGTCCCCCTGACCCTCCAAGTCTCATCTCTTGTGATATGCGACCCTGATGAACCAGAGCTTGAAACGGGACGGCATTGGCAGTCATGCAGTTCTTGATTGTGGGAAAACCATTGTCCAAGCATCCACATTAGTTAGGATGATCTAGTTAGCAGCAACACAGGATCTCCTACTCAGTCAAATGCATACCGTTTGAGTAACGAAGTCCCCTCCGGGGTGGGTCTGGCTCTGTGTACGGAACTTAGACCCATTGCGCAAGTGCTAAACCCTAAACCCTAAACCTTAAACCCTAATTTTCCCACTCCCTGAATGCTGGCCCGCGCCTTGAACAGTCTATGTCTACACTCCACGGAACCATTGTCTGACCCCAGAGGCCCCCCTGTATTCAGCAAGGCATACAGCGGGCATTTTAGGGTAGAGACTATGTATAAGTTGGGGTAATATAGGGTTGTATAGGGGTTTGCGGCAAAAAAGCTGCACCCCGAGAAGCTCCAGCCCTCATACTCTGACCTCAATAAGCTGAAATCCTAAACTTTAAGGATTTAGGGTTTAGGCCTTGAACCCTAAATCCTAAATGTTTGAAGCCCTAGGTCCTCTATTTTGACTTTCGTTCGCCCTGCAGGCAGAACCCTCAAGCTTTGCTCAGGTGTCCTACACCAACGCCATGCAGAAGGAAACTCGTGCAGCCTTCAAAATGAGCATCGCCTGAGCTTTCAAAGGGCTGTTAGCAGCAAAATTGCTGCAACCCCCTGCATGATAAGGGCATGACTCAACTGGGGCAGTCCTTCAAGTTATCTTGGCGCTTCCCCAAGGCCATGGTTACCTGTCTCCATAGACGGGCCTAAGCTGTTACAGCGGTAGTTCCCTGGACCTGGATTCTGAGAGTTCACTTACCCGTCTCTAAGCAGCAGGGCAGCTTAACACATTTGCTGGAGTGAACCTAAAGCCTAAACCCTAAACCCTTTGGCCTTGAGTTTTGAAGTCAAAGTCATCCGTCCCGATCTTAGGGTTCCCAAGATCCTGAGTGTGGGTGCTTCACAAGGTGTAGTTCTGGTGGGCTTAGGATTTGGGATTCGCGCTTTGGGGTGTTGAGGGTTTCAGGGGATCGTGTTGAGTCATACCCGCGCCTCATCGCCCCACCGGGGCCGACTAGGTGGGAATCTTTGGCAGTGAACACCACAGAGCTGTAGCAGTTGAACTCCTGCTATTCCCTCCTTCTAGTACTCAACCCCCCTCACCCCTCCCAATAATGAGTATTTTCCCTCTTCTTGTAAGAGGTTATTGGGGGATGGTACTACACGAAGGATTGCTTGTCTTTTTCTAGGCGTGCTAAGCAGAATGAGCCTAACACATGACGTTGAAAGTCTTCAGTCTCTTCCTTATCTTTCAGTTTGCTTATGAGGTTTGCAACGACATGGTTACATAACCATGTTCACAGGTAAATTCAAACCCTCAACCCTTAGCCCTAAACCCTAAATTAATGCCTAGGCCAAGAAGTATTCCTACCTGGCTTTAGTCAAGTTCCAGGCATTGCAAGTTGCCTTGTGCAGTGGCCAGACTTGCGGCTTTGGCGTTAATTGCCTAGAAGAGGTGTCGTTCTACGGAGGCCCAGAAAAAGGGAAGCAGGGTTTAGGTTTAGGGTTTAGAGTTTAGGGTTTCGGGTGCTGCTTTGCAGCAGGGCATGGGGGAGGTGTAAGCTTTAGCTTCCGTCTTGAGGGTTTGTTTGGGAGCTCATACCGCAGCTATCGATTCAGGGGAAGAGATTTCCGTTCGATACTGAGCCGCAGCCTTTCGAGAGACTTTTTTATGCCTCCATACATCCTTGCACAAATCCCTGTAAAGGGAGCTTATATGCCCCTTCAGAACCCTTTAATGGAACCCTTATATTCCTACATAGTGCTTTGGGGGGACCCATAAACATCCTTCATGTCCCTATAGAACCCCTTCGAAGGCATCCTGCATGTCCCTATACAGTAGCAGCCGTTCAAAGGACCCCATCTCCTCCGCATGGCCCAGAATCGCAGGATGACATGATGAGCTTAGACAGGTGCGGTTTCTTGCCGGGGCCTTGACCATGACGTTGCTAAGAAGAGCCATGAGGCTTTCAAGTAGCTGAGTGATGAGAAGCTCAGTTCTTGTCAAAGACGCTTACTCTGATCCTGGGCTCACATGAGCTATAGTCTAAACTCCTAGTATCCCCCTAAATACGCCTTGTAGAAATCCCCTAAATAATCCCTCGCATAAACCCCAATAAGGAGTTTCGATTATGGCCCACATTGTGAGTGTGCTTCTGCAGTGACCCCTTTTTCCGTGAGAGGGAATGGGGCTTAAGACTTTGGAGTAGGTCTGAGGGCCCGAGCTGATTGCTACGTCTCGAAGGCAGTATATTCTTGATTTCATGGCATTCGGTAGGCCTTGAGTTTTACAGTCTCAGGGTGGGTTTCGATTCTTCGTTGGTGGATGAAGGCTTCGTGTGAGAAGGGGCTTTTCTGGGGTCGGGGTGAACCGTCAATTTCTTAGGACGCGCGCTGGGCAAACATGCGCTGTCTCACTCAATCTCTCCATGCACAACTGCCTGAAATTTACTGGTCCTTGATGGGGAGGCGTGGAAAGGAATAGATAGGGAGTGCTACAGGGCTATAGGGATCAGGCAGCAATTCCGCGCTCTAGATCTCAGATGTTGCCCTCTTCCTCAATCAGGCAAAAATATTATGCCCATAGCCCCCCTTAAGTAGATAGAATATGGGGTATATGGGGATCTTATCGTAATATGCCCAAAGCCATATTCTATCTACTTAAGGGGGACTATAGCCCCGAGCTCGTGATGATTAGGCACTCAGGAGGCCAACACGGAAGCAGGTCTGAACAGAAAACCTTCTGCGGGATGGCTCACTGAACACCCAATGTCTCCGTCCCTAGACAGGGAAAAGCCAAGCTATAACCAGGTAATGTCCTACAGTTCTCTAGACTATAGTTGTGGTCATAGAAGTCCTTGATGTCCTTGCCCTACATGCTGCTATTTCATGCCCTGTACTGTAAGACTGTAAGCTCATATGAGCTAAAGTAGGGTACAGGCGGGCGGTGTAGGGGTATTTTTTGGCGCAAATAAGCATTGAACAAGGATCAGAGCCCTACACTCCAACCCCTCAAGCCCAAAACCCTCGACTCTTAACTCTAAGCCCTAAACCTCCCGAAAACCCTAAACCCTCAACACAAAACCCTAAACCTGGTATATATCCCCTTACTACCCCTTGCAACCCCGACCCTGAACTCCCGCTCTGGAATGCACTAAGGGCCCCCAGATGCGGATCGAGCCGCCATTTGAGGTAGCTTGAGCCTTGTCCCAAGGTGAGGGATCAGGGTTGAGGATTTTGAGGAGCTTTAGTCTTTAGAATTTGGTGCTTTTTTTTTTGTGGCTTAGGGGGTTGTTGATTTCGGGTTTAGAGCCTGGGCTTTTTTGGGGCTTCGGGTTCAGCATCGAGGGTTTGCGGCGGTACCCTGCTTAAAGCAAGCACGGAGCTCCACCGCTATTCTGCTTAAACCAATCGGCGGCTTTTCACTCGGCCCATTTGTAGCCTTTTTTTGGGGGGAGGGGTGCGGGATTTTGGGTTGTCGTTCTTTTCGGGTTTGGGCTTCGTCTTCGGTGCTTGTGGGTGTGGGATACCATCAATTGAGTAGGCCGATGAAGAAATCCTTTCCCCCCGCACTTCCCTTCTGGAAGGCCAGAACTGAAAACCCAAAAGCATAGTCCTCCACCCCAAGCCCAAAGCCGAGAATCCTACTATACCTCTGCAATTAGGGTATTACTGCAGTATGCTAAGGTGTTGTAAGTTTTTTAGTCGCTGCTATAAGGCAAAATTCTCAAACCCTAAGCCCTAAACCCCAAAACCTTACACCCTAAACTCTTAACCCCAAAGCCCTACGCCCTAAACCCTTAACCCCAAACCCTAGACCCTAAAACCTAAGCCCTAAACCCTAAAACCCAAGCCCTACCATGCCTAGTCTTTTCAGGTTTGGGCCGAGTGGTCAAGATGAGGAATGCAAGTCCCAGTGCCTGAGCTCAGATGTTGTTAGTCTTGCCCGGTAAAGGGTCGAAGTTAGGTGGAAACCCCACCCAGTCATAGGGACTGTAAGGGATAATGGTGATTATAGTAGTGTCTCCTCATCTTCCTATTATACCACTATTTCTGGCTGGGAGGGGTCTACCTAAGGTCCAAGGGTGTAGGGTTGAAACCCTAAACCCTAAACCCTTAAACCCTATACCCTAGTTAAAATATGTAGCTTCAGGTTCAGGCTTTGAGGGTGATGCAGAATGGAGAGGGTTTAGTCTTTGAGGGTTTGAGATTTTCAGGGTAGGGTTTAGGGTTTAGGGTTTAGGGTTTCAGGCTTCATGACCACTAACCCCAAGGGGCCCATTACGACACTCCCAGTTTCATTCCTCAGCAGACTTATCCAAGCATCTGGGTTGCTGTTAAGGAACTTAAAGTAAGTTACCATAATGGATATATATATATAGTAAATAATAGGGTTTCTCCAATGTAGTAACTTAATTTAAGTTGCTTAACAGCAACCCAGGAATACTTGTTTAGTTGGCGAAATGAGCAGCCAGGCTTAGCTTCCGGGATTTGACGTCTAAGGAGCTGCTTGAAGATTTAGGTTTCAAGGGTCCAGAACATTCATACCAAGCTCTCGACAAAGTTGGGATTCCACTCAAGCCTGCATAGCCGTAAAGCCCAGAAATATGGCAGTTCGAAGGGTTATGCGGCGTAGGAGAGAGCGGGTCATGCAGGATTGGCTCTGTCAGCAATGGGGCTGGGTACTGACCTTAAAACTTACACCCTTCAAACTTTCAGAACTTGCACCCTGAGCCCTACTTACTCAAGCATTGGAACCTTACAGAAATTTAGCACTACGCCCTAGTAAGCCTAACCCTAGTACTGCACTCTAAACCGTTGAGCTTCAGAACTTGGCTCCAAGCCTCCAGTTATGGGGCCAGTTAGGATTTAGGGCTTTGTGCAGGGTTTGAGGGTTTAGGGATCTGGGGTTGAGGGCCTAGCGGTTTGGGGTTTAGGGTTCCCTAAACCCTAAACCCTATTGCCTTGGGGCTTCCTGTCCTGGTACTTTCACTTAGGAAGGCAAAGTGCCTACTAGAAGTAGGCCTGCAGAGGTTAATGACTCATGCCGGACCCCAAACTACAGATAGATGTAAGAAGAGTAAGAGTAATAATACATCAAATAATAGTAAAATGCGAGTAATGAAGGAAGATAACCACCCACACCACTCTAGACTTGAATCCCTTTGCCTAAACGTCTCAAGCTTAACCCTAAATCCTAAACCTTAAACCCCAAACCCTAGACCCTAAATCCTAAACCCTATACCTTAAACCCTATACCTTAAACCCTAAACCTTAATCCGTAAACTGGAGTTCCCGAGCCTTAACTAATGGACTTGGGACCTCAAAGGCTCCGAATCATGAAGGCTCAAGCGTTGGATTCCATGGGTTTAGAACTTTAGGGTTTCAGGGTGTAGGGGTTTAAGGGTTTTGGGTTTTAGGGTTTTAGGGTTTTAGGGTTTAGGGTTTTAGGGTTTTAGGGTTTCAAGGTTTAGGGTTTTTATTGGGTCTAAAGGCTCAGGTTTTAGGGGTTAGTGTTTAGAGTGTAGGAACCCCAGATCCTAGACCAGCTCCTCACGGATGATGGGTTTGCGTG